AGCCCAATTCTTCTGCTTACTTTCTACCTGTGTGGCCTCTGACAAATCACCGAACCCTCCTGGGCCTCAGTTTCCTTTTCTGTGAAATTAGGGAGGTGGACTAGTAGCATGGTATAGTAGGAAGAAGAATCCTATATCTGGGATCAGAGAACCCAGCTTTGAGGCCAGCTCTCCTGTGCTACCTGTGTGACCTTGGCTGGCAGGTCTTTCTCTTGGCCTCAATTTTTTCCTAGGTGAAATTCTGAGGGAGTTGAATTAGATGACCTCTGAGCTCCCTTCTAGTTGGAAATCTATGATTCTACAACAAAAAAGTATTAATACAAACTATATTTTAGTTTAGTGAAAACATCTTATAAAGGATTTCTCAAATTCTCAATTTGCAAACTGCAGTAGAGACTAGTTGTAATCTCAAGAGTAAATGAAATGAGTGGCAATTGGTAAACCATCTGCAGCAATTCTTCTCCCATTGGGGATCAGAGGTCTGGCTTGTTGGAGTCAATATTAGGGAAGAAATTGTGGAAACTACATAAAAAGGCAGATCAAGTTTGTATTCCTCTAACTTTCTGGAAAGCTGCTCTTTTGGTGGGCTTCTTTTGAGTTAGTAATAAACCATGCTAGAAGAGAGATTTCCCTGCAGGAATGATGATGGATGTTTTCAATGAGTGTCGGGTTTGTTTGAGCAAATGAGAATGTCCCAAATGGTATCTTGTAATCTGGTACAAGTGTATGGTTAACTTCTCCCTGTTTCTGTTCAGATTATCCAGGTAGGGGCCAGTTTTTAATGTGAGCCTACTTTCTCCCTGCCACGTAGCAGGGACTGGTTTCTCCTGCTACTCAGCTAATATGTGCTCTAGGAATGCGAGCTGATTTTTAGCTGAAGCAAAAAATGCTGCATCCTAGTCAAATAAAAGCAATTTTTGGATTTCCATGGGGAGGAAGGGGTGGTTTCTGTTTGTACATCTGCTTCTTTCTGGTAGTGTAAATAACTGTGTTGACCATATTCTTATTCCAGTCAATTCAGTTCACCAGTTATCTTACATGCTGAAAAAAGTCTTTGAACCAGCTCAATTTTCCCTATTTCCTCCACTTAAAAGCGCTTTTAGTAATGATGGATTTGAAGGCAGTAGGCTTTAGAAAACTGAATATATACAGTGGCAGTACTGTGTGAGTACTGGATTACAGAAGTGCTTTTTGGCTTTGTTTTTTTATTTTTTTAGAGTCTGTTAGCTCCCTTAGTTTGTTTTGGCTTTTTCCCTAAGGAAAGGCTACGTTTAGTTTTTTCCAGGTTTAGAGTCTCTTGGACCCCGGCTTTTTATATACATATATAGAAATACAGTAAGTTCCTATTTGCATGGTGTTTTATAACTGGAATGAAGTTAGCTTGCAGTGTTATGATTTTGAACATCTAGATCCTTTTGTGCCCTATTTTGATCTCTTGTAATTAAGATTTGTTCTTAGTTGTGGGCAAAAATCACTTTCTTTTGAATATATAAATTTCATATATAGCAGTTTTTAAAAATTCCATGTTAAGAGGTGGGTAGGTAGTTTTTGGTTTTACTTTTAAATGATAAAATTAGGGTTTAAATATAGGTGCTCACTATCTATCTCCCTCAAGCCCACCCCTCTCCCTAATATTTCCTATTATTGCCTAACCTTCCTATCGGCAGAAGGTCTGATCATGTCACTACTCCCCTTATTCATAAAACTGAAGTGACTCCTTATGACCTCCAGGATCAAAAATCAGGATCAAATCTTCTGTTTGGCTTTTAAAGCCCTTTATTACCTGTGTCCCTGTCGTGCCCCAGGGCAACCTTTCCAGTCTTCTTAGACCTTCCTCCCTTCCACATATGCTACAATCCAGTGACACTGGCCTCCTTGCTCTTTTTCATCTCCTGAATTAAGCCATTCTCACAAACTGCCCTCATCTCCACCTCCTGACTTCCTTCCCAGCTAAAATCCCACCTTCTACAAGAAGCCTTTACTGATCATGCTTAACTCTTAGGTCTTCCCTTTACTGATTATCTTGAATTTATCCTTTATATATCTAGTTTGTACATACAGTTGTTTGCATGTTGCCTCTCCTTGAGAGCAGGGACTGTCTTTTGTCTTTCTTTGTACCCCCAGCACTTAACACAATGCCCAGTACACAGTAGGTGCTTAATAAATGCTTGGTGACTGACTGACCTATGATTTCATTAGTATAGGTAACTCCAGGGTGAGAAAACTCCCTGTACCAACACAGGTTGGCACCTTCTCACCAACTTCTAGTCTTGGAGCACTGAGGTTAAGTGACTTTTGCCAAGAGTTTGTGTTAGTCAGTATTGGTCAGAGGTGTCACTTGAACTTTGGTTTTTCTGGCTCAGAGGTCACCTCTCTCTCCATGACACCATGCTGCCTCTTCAAGATTGAAAATCAGGTTTCAAAATAGAAACTATTTTGTGTGCATGGAAAGATTTGGGGAGCATTAATAGCCTGCCACCAGCAGGGTCAATTAAGCAATTCCTGATTGTGTCCATGTATGGTAAGGGTATAAAATTAGTGGGCCCAAAAAGGAGACAGAAGAAAGGAAGAAAAAGAAAAGATATGAAGAAGGAGAAGAAATATTTCAAGAGATAGTTTTAAAAAAAGGCCTAGAAACTCCTGTGCTATGGAAATATATTAGATTTTGACGTTTTCTAGAATCTAAAAAATTCCTAAGAATGTGTATAGGGTGGAAGCAGGGAGGAGAAATCTCCCTGGCATTTGGAGAGAACCTCATTCAGCTTGAGCTTCCTCCTGGGAAGAAGGGCAGTGATAGGGTTGTATTATTTGACAGCCTGGCAGGGTTGATGTGAGACATAAAGGAAATAAGGGAGAGATGTAAGCTTTTATTGTATATGCATCATTTTTAAAGCAAAACCTAACTCTAATTTGGACTGATTGGAGGATGGGGAAGGGAATTGGACCAGAGATCTGGAGATCTGGATTCTAATCTCAAGTTTGCTGTGTCATTTACATCTAGTCCAAACTGCTGTGCTAACATGAATAAGGCCTTGGTCTTCGGTTTGATCTGCAGACTGAAGGCTAAGGTTAATTTGAAATAGACTGAATTGTTGACTCTTTTTTTAAGCTGCCATTTTATTACTTAGGATAGCTGGCTCTGGGTAGTAGCAGGGGAGAGTAGAAGGAGCCCTAGACTCACTCAATAAGAGACTGCCTGGGCTCATTAGTAGCTGGGTGGTCCTGGATAAGTTACTTAGGTTTCTAAGCCTTAATTTCCTCATTTTTAAAATTGGGGGCAATATTCCTTGGGCTGTCCCTTACCAGGGTTTTGTGAATTACAAAGGAGACGTTTGTGAAATACTTTGTAAACCTTAAAGCACCATAGAAATAAACGTATGCTGCTACTCAGGCCATGAGAATGATGGCTGGCTAATTAGCATGCCAAAAATAACCTAAGTACTGGAAGTCTGTGTTTATATATAGTTGATAGACCAACGTGTGCTTCAAAAATGTGTGAAAATAGTTTGTTCTCAGGTAAGAAATACATCACTGGCTTAGGAAGTCCTTTTTTATACTTAGGATAAAAGGCTATACTACCCTTCCCTCAGTGCTGTCTGACCCCACATTCTAAGCTAGGGCATTTTTGTATCTCAGTTTTGCAGCCTAATGATGGAAATAAGCTGTGTCCAAATGACTCCGGTGAGGCCGTATGTAACAAGTGGTATAAAGTGTGTCACTGGTGAGTGGGAGAGGCTGGAGTGATAGGCAAAGGCTTGATGGGGGAGAGGCCCTTGAGGAGCAGAACTTGGTGAGGCAGGGAGCAGCAGTTATTGAGGCAGCATCACAGATGTGGTCAGGGAGCACTTTGGAGTCATTTTGGCTAGGAGATCATATTTGATAGAGCCGGAGAAGTACTTTGGGGCTAGATTGTAGAAGGGTTTTACACCAGGACAAAGAAAGACAGATGGAGACCATCTTGACTAGATTGGATAGTTTATGCCATAGATGGCAGAAGAGGGGGCCATATTAGAGAGGGCTACGCTACTAGGATAAGGGATTTGGATTTTATTTTCTAGGCCACTATGGAGTCCCTGGCAACTTTGGAGCAGGGGAATGACACAGTGAAAATGGGGCATTAAGTAATTATTTCATTGATAGAAGAATCCGGAATCGTGAAGGATGGAACGATTGGCAGGGGGGAGGCCAGTTAGGCAAGTGCAGAAACCTAAGCCTGACTTAGGGGAGTTACAGCAGGAACTTGGGGGAAGGAGAAACGTGAGGTAGGAAAGGTCAATGGGACTGGGGGACTGCTGTTATTATATAGGAGGCAAAATGAAGTAAGGAGTCCAAACTAATTGATTTGCCCTTGGGACAAGGGTACCATTGACATAATTGGGAAGATTGAGAAGAAAAGTCTTCCTCGTTAGGGGAGACAATGTGACTTTGGCTTTGGCTATGGTGAGTTTGAGGTAAACTGAGAGCTACAGATTTGTGAGTCCTCGTGGGGTTGGGGTGTGTGTGTGTGTGTGTGTGTGTGTGTGTGTGTGTGTGTGTGTGTGTGTGTGTGTAAGAGAGAAAGAGAAAATGAGAGTACGCAAGCCGTGTATATTTGAAGGCAGAAAAGGAGCCAGGGGAAAGGAAGAAACTGAGACATGTGTATATATGGTCACCTAGGGATGGTACCTAGGATACAGGTTCACCTTGGAGACTAAAGGACAGATGGGAGGAAATGTAGAGACAGAAGTATCTTGAATTAAGATAAGGGGGAGTTTCCCCAGTTGGCCTTAGGTCTCAGTGACACTGGGGGTGTAGCTGTGCACCATCCAAGGCATGTGTGCAGGGCCTTTTGGGGGTTTTAAAATCTTTTTTACATGTTAACATTTTACTGTTCCTTTCTCACCTCTGCACAATTTACGAATGTTCTCCTGATTTGTGATTTCTCGAAACCATGCAGCTGTTGCGTGTTATACTTACCTGAGAGGTACACGTGCTCATGACTGTCTCTGCTTTGTCCTCAGTCTGTCTTCAGATATTCTGGATGGCAGTAGTAGCAGCATTGGCTCATCCTCAGACTCACTGGCTAAAGTCAGCAATGCCACAGACTCTCCAGTAACATGTTCCAATTCATGCTCTTCGTTCATCTTGATGGATGACCTTTCACCCAAGTGACTTAACCATTTCTCATTCAGTGTTCTGACCGGGCTGTTTTCTATACAAAAGACTCTGGCAGGCAGGGAAAGGGACTTTGATCCTTAATGAGGATTAAGATATTAATTAGGATAGCAAAAATTAATGTAACATTATCCCTTAACATCTCTATTCTAAAAGGTTTAATCCATAGATATATTAACCTTACTGCTAGTTTTGCGTTAAGTGACTGTTCAGATGATTAAAATTAACTTTGGGTTGCTGTTGCTCTATTTGACTTTTGACGCCTAAAAGGCTACCTCCTTAAGGTCCTGTAGTTTGAGTACTGATATATGGTTTCTAGTATGGCTCCTTTCCCCAACAAAAGTAAACGATAGTTACAAAACTGATCAGAAAGTCTCTTGTTTGAGAGAGATCTTGTTCCCTATTCCTCCCATTAAAGAAATAGTTGTATATTGCTCTTCATTTTACAAACATAAAAAGCTTGCATTTGGTTATATTTAAATGATTTTTCTCATCAGATTTAAATATATGATTTCTCCATTTTCCTCTTTGCGCTGCTTGCTTGTGGCCAGACCAGGAAATACTTAGTGGTCTCTGTAGCTGCCAATGTTGCTCCTTTGTAGTTAAGATTGTATGGAAGGATGAGGATTGGTTTTAATGTTTGAAATGTTAATGGGCTTGGTAGTATGCCTGAATTAGTTAGTAAGAATGTTCCAGATCCCTATAACCCAGGAATGGCGGTAGCTAACATTTTTTCCCGAAACTTGTAGCCCTGAGGAATGTATAACATATTATTAATATTTCTAGTTATTTGTTGTCAAGGAGAAGAAATTCCAGCCTTGATCAGAGATGTCTAGTTTATCCAGAAGTGACTAGCCAGTGTTACTGACCTAAAAAACTACTGTGCAGGAGAGTGCACATGGGGCCATCAATGTCTCCTGTGGCATTGAGGCCATAGGGATTTTTGTGCCTTAGGGGACATTGTTCTACTATTAAAGAATGTAAACCATGGGGAAGGGGAAAGCAAAAGGGGGTGCCATGTGTAATGATCTGATATGGGGTCTGGTGCGCCTTTTTCTTATTGCTTTTCAACTTCTAGATTTGTTTGCTTTCCCCTATGGTGATTGGTACCAATGATTCAGTCCCTCTGCATCACAGTTTTTGTGTAGCCACTAGAGAAGATGCATGGGTTGAAGTAACTTTCATGCTGCCTTGAAAAAAGGCAAGTCTCTAAAGTTTAATTTCTAGAGAGAAAAAAGGTTTGCAGGCTTGATAATTGAATATTAGCTCTGTATTCTACCTTTACGAGTCAAATTTGAATTGTAAGGAGCATTTCAGTTAGTCCAAGGTAGCAAAATAATTTCATAACAGGAAGAATATTAACCAAGCTAGATAATCCATTGATTATAATCTACTATCATACTATTTATTATTTATAACTATGTAAAAAGTCTGTGTGATGAATTATAGTATTTTTTTATGATTAAAAATTTTTAAATGTTTGGTAGTAACTGCTGGCTTGTTTCTAACATACAAAATTGCCTGCCGTAAGCTTTCATTTTTGAATGGTGGTTCAAAATGCTTTTGTCTAAAATACAGCATTTGTGTTTTGTTTTGTTTTGTTTTAAGAAAATAACACTGAATTTTAAAGAGAAATTTTGTGTTTTGAAGGTAAGCAAAGACTGGCAATTTTGTGTAGTTTGGCTGGAGGGGAGAACTAGACTTTCTTTTCAGCTCTAACAAGGACATGGTGTGGCCTACAGGAGTCCAATTACAGTATCTCATGTTCTTTATTTTAACTTGTAATAATCATGGTAGCCAATAATGGATTTATTACTTGTGTTATTTTTACCCGTGGAGCATCACTAGTTTTCCCCACCTCAAATAGATGTGTATATTGTAAAATATTAATCCATAGTGTGCCATTTAAAAGAGAACATATAATTAGTTCTACAGCATTCAATGTATTCTTTTTATTTGTATATGAACCATATTATTTAAGATGTTTTTGCCTGTACAGTAATGACTAGAGTGTTTTATCTTACAGAATATTTATCCACTTTCACTTTGCTGTCTTTTTTGTCTTAAAGGGATACTTTCAGCCATAATTTTCAGACTCTGAATTGACTGCTAAGATATAACCTTTCAATTCTTACAGATGATTAAATTTAATTTTAAAATTTTAATCATTGAATTGGGAGGAGGGAGCTGGAGAAGAGAAATGAGACATCAACATATTCCTGCAGTGTTTGCTATGAGGATGTAAGAGCTAGGAGATGACCCATGAAGTCATCTTTGAACGTTGTTTAAACGGCAGTTTGGTGTTAGTGGTTAGAGGCTACATCTTGGAGGCAGGAAAACCTGAGTTCAAGATCCATCTCTAACACATACTAGCTGTATGACCACAGACAAGTCACATAACCTCTTGAGGCCCCAGACCACTCTAGGGTTCTATTCCACCTGAGTTGCTGACCTGCATTCAGCATATGGAGTGCCCTATACCAATGAAATCATGGGTCTGGACCAAAAAAATTAGGGGGGGGTGGTGTGTTTTTAAATGATCACACATAGTGATGTGTTTGAAATTGATTCTAAATAAAGGTCAATTAACTAATGAACTTTGTTGATAGTCTAGCAAATGAACTTTGTTGACAGTGTCCCTTTATTTCCATATAAAGTTCACTCTGCCATTTGCCAAATCCTATCTGTTATGATGTGATGTAGAGGTTGTCATTTATCCCCATTATACTCTCCCGCCCTCTTCTTGGTGTCTCTGTTTGGCAACATGGACAAGGGATGGGAGGACCAGCATTTCCCTCATGGCCATCAGATGGTTTCGTCTGCCTGACTTGTAGAAGTGATGTATTTCATGATTACTGTTTCGGGAGTGATGGAAAAGTTTTCTGTGAAATGTTGGCCTTTGTAAACATTAGAATGAAAATCTCATAAAATGTGAACACATGCATAAAACTTTGTATTTTCTTCAAAAAAAAAAAAGCCTGGCCGTCTCTTTTCTCACTGGTGACTGACTTTGCCACCATATTCTGTGTCCTGTAGCTCTGGCAGAGCTTAATTCGCTCCCTTTTGTATTCCTGATAACTCTTCTAATTCACAAAGTTAGCTTTGACCATATGACCTTTTGGATTTACAGAAGAGCATCAGAAGCCTGAGAAGTCGCACTATGAAGTGCTCCTCGACTCAGAAATTTGTGAGCTGTTCTTTATATCCAGTTGGTTTATTGCACACTGCCTTCTCTTCCCCACTGCCAAGCTACCCTGGACCACCAAGTGCCACCTACTGGCCGAGGGAAATTGGATCACTGTTCCTATCATCCACCTCCTTTGCCCCTAGGGATGTGGCACATGCTGTGTGCCCTGCTTCTCCCACCTCCATTCCTCCTAACTGCTTACAGCATCGTTAATTCCACCTCTAGCAACCATTATATCATATACTCTGTACAGTGCTTTGGGGTACATCTTATTAGATTGATGAGATTGTGCTGCAAGCAGGGACTGTGTCTGATTTTATCTTTAAATCTCCCTCAGTGCCTAGTACATAGTAGGTACATAAGTGTTCAATGAACTTGTCCACAGTCTGGCTTCAGCCTAACTTTTCACCTTTATCTGCTTCTGCCCTTCCTGTACTGCCTGCTCCCCACCCCAACATGGCACCCATGCTCCCCCTCCCATACATAACAGAGCAAAGCAGCCAGGGCTTTGAACCAGCATTGAGAAAGGGCTAACAGCACTTATAGTTCTTTTAGCAGCATAGAAACTGCTAAAGGAGTTAGTTCAGGAGTGGAGAACCTGTGGCCTCAAGGCCACATGTGGCCCTCTAGGTCCTCAGGTGAGGCCCTTTGACTGAATCCAAATTACACAGAACAGATTCGGTCAACAAGCTGCACTTGAGGACCTAGAGGGCCACATGTGGCCACAGGTCCCCCACCCCTGGTAGTACCTAGTTAGCAAGAATCAGTAGCTAAATTAAGAAGCTACCATATGCTTCCTTCCCCTGTTCCCCTGAATTTATCTGAAATTTATTTCCATATACTCTACATGCTAGTAAAACTGGATCACTCATCATTATCCCAACATATCTTGTAGCCTCCTACTTCTGCATCTTTGTTCACCCTGACCCTGGATTGCTCTACATCACTTGTTGACGCCCTGCTCAGCTCGGAAAAACCCTCCTCCATGAAGCTTTCACTTACCCTCGCCCAACAAGCCAGTAGTGATTCCTTCCTCATAGAGCACCAGGCCAGAAGTCAGGAAGACCTGAGGTCAAATCCAGCTTCAGAAACTTACTAGTCATGTGACCCTGGGCAAGTCACTTGCTCACTGTTTGCTGCAGTTTCTGCATCTGTAAAATAGGGATGATAATAATAGCACCTACCTTGCAGGGTTGTTGTAAGGATCAAATGAGATAATGATTGTAAAGCACTCAGTACAGTGCCTAGCCTGTAAGCACTACATAAATGTTAGCTATTATGATGTATGCTATTCACATTTTGCTCTTTGAATTTGTGTACAAATCATCACTCTTGCTAGGCTGAAAGCTCCGTTAGGTTCAGCACATAGAAATAGGTTACCACTGAATATCTTACTGTTGAATGAAGGAACACTTCTTGAATACCCTTTTCCCTTCTTGACTAATTACCACAGGAAAATTCATTTCCATTCTGCCTTTCCCCTTTTTTCCTTCCCTTAGTTCTTTTTATATAATTCAAAACAAGCATGGGTGATAAGTGTGAAAATGATTCTAAGGACACAATGCCTATATATCAAGAGAAAGGAAAGCAAAAAGTTTTGAAATGATACTGGGTAAAGGATTGGTGCTGTCAACCTTTAAGTACCCAGAATCCCCCCTTGGGTATCAACAGCAAATTCTATCTACCATCTCCTCTTTACTTCCAATGAAACCTACTCTGCTTCAAGAACATAACTTCCTCCTTCCTCTCATCAGAGGACCTTTACTTTATCACGAAAATTAGGATCATCCATCTTGAACTCCTTCTTCTTATTTCTACACTTCAAATCCTATCAATTTTTTTTTCCTAGGGAAGGAGGGATGGGGGGTGGGGAGAGAACTGTGGGACAAGCTTCCAGAGGAGACACCAGGAGATAAATTCAACGGTACAAGTAAAGGGTTTGGCCACCTTGAAATGGGAGACTGGAGGAAAGAAGGATGAATATAAGGTAATTCTGTAAAAGTTCCGAGTGCTGAAACTCAGAATGACCTAGTGAGAAATGCCAATGACGACAACAGTGGGGCATGGTATAGCGGGCAGTGCTGGACTCTGAGCCAGGAAGCTCTAGGTTCAAATGGGCAGGTCAATTCAATAAGCATTTGTTATGTGCCAGGCACTGTGCTAAATGCTGGACGTGATCTCTCAGTGCTCTGGGGCAACTCTATGACTATAAATTGCAGAGAAGGTGCCAACCTGCATTGGTAAAGGGAATTTCCTCACCTGGGAGTTACCTATATCGATGAAATAAAAAATCATTTCATAATCGATGAAACCAGTCCCTATCCCTTATCTTCTGTTGGGAGAAAGAGAAGGATCAAAAAAAAAAATTTAAAAGATCACCTCTTAGGTAGATGAGATAACTGACAACAGAGAGCAGGCAATGCTGTCACATCTCGTTTTGTGTTTTTTTCTGCCAAGGAGAAGGTTCTTTGAACTGGAAATAAAATAAAAAGGCAAACAGGGAGTCAGTACTCAAACTAAGTAGAGATAATAAGAAAACCCCTAGTTCTGCCCTTGATGAATTCAAGTCTCTTGGTCCAGATGAACTACATCCTTGGGTATTGAAAGAATCTACAGATGAGATGTGAGAAAGATCATGGCGATGGCAGAGATGCTGCCGAGCTGGAGGACAGATGTCATTCAGTTTTCAATAAAGGGAAGAGAATGGAGTACAAACTTTATATGCCTATGAGCTTGAAGTTGATTTCTGGGAAAATGAGAACAGATCATGAAACAGATAGCTAGTGACTGTGTAGCAAATGAAGCAGTGAATAAATACAAGCCAGCATGATTTCACCAAGAACAGATCATGACAATGGAACCTTATTTCCTTTTTTGATAGTTAATAAACTGGTAGGTCAGGGTGATGCTCCAGATATAGTTCACCTAAATGTGAGCAAATGATTTCGTAGTATATCATAAGAGCACAGATTTAGTGGTAATCTAACTCAACCTCCTCATTTTACAGATAAGGAAAGTGAGTCTCGAGGAGGGAAATAACTTGTCCAAGGTCAAAACGGTAGAGCCAGAATTTGAGCCCAGGTCATCTGGCTTGAAATCCAGTATTATTTTCATTGTATGATATAGAAAAGCCAGATTGATGAGGGCTAGACAAGAGGACAATTAAATGGATTTGGAATTGGCTGGCTGGATTAAAAGAGTAGGCATTAATGATTCTAAGTCAACTTGATAGTATTGATTTGAGTACTCCAGGAATTGGTGTGTGCCCCTGTACCATCTGAAATTTTTATCAGTGACTTGAAGAAAGGCATAAATGGCAAGCTCATTAAATTTGCGTATGGCATGAAGCCAGGTGGTGTGATGGGTAAGAGTGCAAGAATAAGAATGTTCAAATCCTGGCTCAGACACTTACTAGCTATGTGAGTGACTTTGGGCCAATCAGTTAACTTGCCTCAGTGTCCTCAGTAAAATGAGGAGAATAAAAGGCAGCTGGGTAGTACAGTAGATAGAGCATCAGGCCTGAAGACAGAAAGATCCGAGTAAATCTGACTTCAGATACTTACTAGCTGTGTGACCTTGGTTAAGCCGCTTTACCTCTGCCTGCCTCAGTTTCCTCATCTGCAAAGTGAGGATCATGATAGCATTTACCTCCCAGGGTGGTTGTGAGAATCAAATGAGATAATATTTGTAAAGTGCTTAGCACAGTGCCTGGCACATAGTAGGCATTTAATAAATTTTTCTTATTTATTTTGCTGTGTGTCGCTGGGGAAGTCACTTAACCTCTCTGAACCTCAACTTCATTTGGAAGATGGGGATAATGATGATACCTCACAAAATTGTTGTGAGGAACAAACGAGATAATAAATGTATAGCACTTTGTAGATCTTAAAGCCCAAGTTACTTTTTTTATTTTTATTTTTTATTATTTTTAGGCAGTTGGGGTTAAGTGACTTGCCCAGGGTCACACAGCTAGTAAGTGTCAAATGTTTGGTCTGAAGTCGGATTTGAACTCAGGTCCTCCTGACTTCAGGGTCCGTGCTCTCCAATGCGCCACCTAGTTGCCCTCTGCCCAGTTACTTTTAATATCATTTGTATTTCCTTATCTGTGTACATCTTGTTGCTACTAAATAGAATGTAAGCTCCTTGAAGGCAGGAACTATTTGGTTTTTGTATGTAACCTCAATGCCTAGCACATAGTCAATGCTTAATAAATACTTGGTGAATTGAAGCCCCCTATTCAAAATGAATAAAATGATTATCATTCAATTTGAATGGGGGAGTGAGGGGGCTTTTTCTTTTCCTTTTTTTCTTTTTGGAGGTAGTCAGGGGTTAAGTGACTCACCCAGGGTCACACAGCTAGAAAGTGTGTCTGAGGCCAGATTTGAACTCAGGTCTTCCTGACTTGAGGGCAGGTGCTCTATCCATTGAAGTGCCACCTAGCTGCCTTCTGGGCCTTATTTTTTGTAGTGACAGAATGCAGGATTTTTTTTTTTTAATCATTGCCTTGCAAGAATACAAGAATTAAAGAGGCTTTGTGCACACTAGCTTGAGAACCTGGCCATCATTTATAACAGTCTCTGGGGAAAATCTATATTAGGAATTTCAAATAAGCCGATGTTTGGAATGTCTTTTTCATTTGTGTTGAGGACTGCAGATATCTTTTCCCTTTCCTGTAGATTTCCCTGAGGTGTTATTCAATCACACCTATTTTTTTTCCCCACATTTTACACCCAAATGTATTGTTTTATCTCAGAATT